TCCTACCCCAAACCATTGGTGGACTACCAAGCTCAATCAAAACCTATCCACACTCTTGCGCGCTCACGCTTGCGAGCACTCCATACCCTTTCCGCACGCGCTTTTTACCCAACAGCGAAGACTGATAGGTTTCTAGTGGTGTCAAAAGAAAACATCTTGACTCCCCAGGGGGGTCTGGGCGGGATCCGGACGGGATCCGGGGGAATCCGGAAACTCCTTTTTTAGCAAACAGTAACGCATTTCGTGGTCTTCGAATTCCCAGAACTCCATTCCTGGGCATGATTTTAAATGCCCGGAGCCAACTGTAGGACACTTCGTGTTCTTCGAGTTCCCAGAACTCCATTTCTGGCATGATTTTGACTGCCCGGAGCCAACTCTAGGCCACTTCGTGGTCTTCGAATTCCCAGAACTCCACTCCTAGGCATGATTTTGAATGCCCGGAGCCAACTGTAGGCCACTTCGTGGTCTTCGAGTTCCCTGAACTCCGTTCCTGGGCATGATTTTGAATGCCCGGAGCCAACTGTAGGCCACTTCGTGTTCTTCGAGTTCCCAGAACTCCATTCCCGGGCCACATTTTGAATGCTGAGGCAAGCTGATGCTGAGGCTGAGGCAGGCTGAGGCTGAGGCAGGCTGAGGCTGAGGCCGAGGCTGAACGCTCTGAGGCTGAAGCTGAAGCAGGCTGAGGCTGAGGCTGAGGCAGGCTGAGGCTGAGGCTGAGGCTGATGCAGGCTGAGGCTGAGGCAGGCTGAGGCTGAGGCCGAGGCTGAAGGCAGACTGAGGCTGAGGCTGAAGCAGGCTGAGGCTGAGGCTGAGGCAGGCAGGCTGAGGCTGAGGCTGAGGCAGGCTGATACTGAGGCAGGCTGAGGCTGAGGCTGAGGCTGATGCAGGCTGAGGCTGAGGCAGGCTGAAGGCTGAGGCCGAGGCTGAAGGCAGACTGAGGCTGAAGCAGGCTGAGGCTGAGGCTGAGGCAGGTTGAGGCTGAGGCTGAGGCAGGCTGATGCTGAGGCAGGCTGAGGCTGAGGCTGAGGCTGAGGCAGGCTGAGGCTGAGGCAGGCTCAGACTGAGGCCGAGGCTGAAGGCAGATTGAGGCAGAGGCTGAAGCAGGCTGAGGCTGAGGCTGAGGCAGGCTGAGGCTGAGGCAGGCTGAGGCTGAGGCTGAGGCTGAAGCAGGCTGAGGCTGAGGCTGAGGCTGAGGCTGAGACTGAGGCTGAGGCTGAGGTTGAGGCAGCCTGAGGCTGAGGCCGAGGCTGAAGGCAGACTGAGGCTGAGGCTGAAGCAGGCTGAGGCTGAGGCTGAGGCAGGCTGAGGCTGAGGCTGAAGCAGGCTGATGCTGGGGCAGGCTGAGGCTGAGGCTGAGGCTCATGCAGGCTGAGGCTGAGGCAGGCTGAGGCTGAGGCTGAGGCAGGCTGATGCTGAGGTTGAGGCTGGGGCAGGCTGATGCTGAGGCAGGCTGAGGCTGAGGCTCAGGCTCAGGCTGGTGCAGGCTGAGGCTGAGGCAGCCTGAGGCTGAGGCCGAGGCTGAAGGCAGACTGAGGCTGAGGCTGAAGCAGGCTGAGGCTGAGGCTGAGGCAGGATGAGGCTGAGGCTGAGGCAGGCTGATGCTGGGGCAGGCTGAGGCTGAGGCTGAGGCTCATGCAGGCTGAGGCTGATGCAGGCTGAGGCTGAGGCTGAGGCAGGCTGAGGCTGAGGCAGGCTGATGATGAGGCAGGCTGAGGCTGAGGCTGACGCTGATGCAGACTGATGCTGAGGCAGGCTGCGGCTGAGGCCGAGGCTGAAGGCAGACTGAGGCTGAGGCTGAAGCAGGCTGAGGCTGAGGCTGAGGCAAGCTGAGGCTGAGGCTGAGGCAGGCTGAGGCTGAGGCTGAGGCAGGCTGAGGCTGAGGCTGAGGCTGAGGCTGAGGCAGGTTCAGGCTGAGGCAAGCTGCGGCTGAGGCCGAGGCTGCAGGCGGACTGAGGCTGAGGCTGAAGCAGGCTGAGGCTGAGGCTGAGGCAGGCTGATGCTGAGGCTGAGGCTGAGGCAGGCTGATGCTGAGGCAGGCTGAGGCTGAGGCCCAGGCTGGTGCAGGCTGAGGCTGAGGCAGCCTGAGGCTGAGGCAGGCTGAGGCTGAGGCTAAGGCAGGCTGAGGCTGAGGCTCAGGCTGGTGCAGGGTGAGGCTCAGGCAGGCTGAGGCCGAGGCCGAGGCTGAAGGCAGACTGATGCTGAGGCTGAAGCAGGCTGAGGCTGAGGCTGAGGCAGGATAAGGCTGAGGCTGGCTGAGGCTGAGGCTGAGGCAGGCTGAGGCCGAGGCTGTGACTGCGACTGCCGTTGCCACTGCGACTGTCGCGAATGCGACTACGACTGCGAGAACAGCAGGAGTCTACAACTGGATTCCCATGTGAATATTAAGGGGAATGTTTCCGGATATGCTCCTACACATCGCTGTTAGGCGACTTTGCCCGGACAATTATAACCCATGTCGGCTGTAAAATCCTCCGTCGCAGCGGCCATCCGATTCGGTCTGTCAGCTCCCGGTTTGATCGTCGCGACGGGTCGCATGGCCTCCGATGTGCAGTTGATCCAGGCACGCGTCGTGGACCAGCACAGCTCAAGCTTGCCACCAGACAGAGTGCTTGGAGGACAAGGCAGTGGCACCAAGCGCGCCGATGTCGTCGGGTGCGTCGACGACGATGAGGGCGCCGTCAGATTTTCAAATCATTACGCCCAGTCAAACGACGTCGGCGGTCGCGCGGATGTCGGCCCGCATTGTGAGAAAGGGAATTTCACCAGCAAGCACCACGAGCTGCGTTGCGCCACGTGCGGCGACGTCGTGAAGGAGAATCCGCATCTGCACGAGTGCACAGATCATTCGTCGTGTCGGAGCGGGGCGTTATGTTACGATGGCGCGCGCGACAGCTGCAGCCACTGCGAACTCTGCTCCGACGCGGCGCACGCAGACGAGCGCGGGCATTGCGGGCCAGGGTTTCCTACGCAGGAGTCAGAACCTTGGCATTCACAGTAAAATAAGAGCGCTGGTGGGAATAACCTCGCCATACATCTCGACTGCCGCCGGCCGACGGGGGGCCGGCAACGAGCGGGCAGCCGCAGCGCAGCTAATAACCCCGAGCGTCGGAACATCCGAGACAACAAAATAATACAGAATTCGGCCTCTCCCCAACTCTCCCCAGGGGCCACAATCCGCCCTCGGAGCTCGGCCGCCCACCCTTGCTCGGGCAGGTCGGCAGGCGCGGTGGCCCAATCGCCTCCGACGAGGAAGGGCCTCCCCAGCGAACGCAAACCGCCCCACCCTCGAAAGCAGAAGAACTATCCACTCCGCAGGGGTCGCCCGCGGGCCCAAGAAGCCGACGCTAGGTCGATGTCCCCAGGCACCAGGGAATTGACCCATCGAACAAGGACCCGACGAGTCATGGAAAGCGGCCGCCGCGGCCCAGGAGCGAGGCCCATCCCGACGAACGGCGGAACCCGATGCCCAAACATCCAGAGACTCCATCCTTGTCAGTGATCGGGTCCGGCGAGACGCAGAAAACGTGACCTGTCAAATGCTGCCCACGCTGCTCCTGCCCATCAGGTCGGAATGCGACTGCCCGAAGAAGAAGCTGAACATGCTTTTTCCATGCGAACATCGCCCCAAGACTGCACGCTCGCCAAGGCCGATTTCCCCGGGAAGTGGCACTGGCCGCCCAGATGACCAGCTCGCCCTGGCCCTCGCTCGAACGAAGGTGCACAGCAGGACGAACGCACACTGCAGCAGATTTGGCAAGCAGCTGCTCCCTGGAAAAAAACCTCCTTCGACAACGCACTGCGTTCTTCTGACGCAAGCACCTCGATGAAGCTGGCACTCGACTGCGGAAACGTGACGACCTCTGGAATAAACTCCTCATCCTCATGATGGCCCAAGACCGCAGCCGCAGCACGAACCCCAAGCAAGGCCCGCATCTCACCACATATGCGCCGAAGACCCGTCCAGCGACGAGCCAATTCACGCCAATGTCCGTCTCGATCATGATTCAACAACCAGGCGCGGTAATCCAGCATGTTCCTGCGACCCTCTCCTGAGCCCGTCCAGGCGCGCGCATACATCTGCAACGCGCTGACGAATCGAACGGCCGTGCAAAACTCGATGAAACCAATGCACCTGAGGAGGCCGTTGTAGCTGTTCGATTACAAATGACACTCGCCATCTCTGTCCAGGACCGTTCAACCGCACAATCCAACGAGCAGCTCTAAGCATCCTGCCCTCTGGAAAGATCTGCTCTGGATCGCTTGGGCCAGGGAGCGGCGAGGGCAAACCCGCGGTCGAAGGTGCACAAGAAGACCAAGTCGACAACGACACCGAAGCAGAAGACGCCAAAGAGCTTGTCTGTAGGGCATATGCTGCCGAGCCTCCAACGATTCCCGCATCGCGGGGTCCCTTGTTGCGGCCCTGGCCCCCACATCCAACTGGGCACCAGCCACCAGCCTACGCCGAGCTTCATCCACGAAGTGAGCTCGGTGAGCGAGCACCCGGAGGCCCACTGCGAAAAAGATGCCGGTTGGCCACGAGCACAATAAGGAAGCCGATCTTCAGAAAGAACAAATAGAAGGCGTCGCTGCCGCAAGCAAAGTCCAGCACCTCGAGCGTCCCGGACAGCCAGAGCCAACCAGCACAAAAAGAGCTGCTTCTGGATCGAACTGGAGCCCAGTGAGGTACAGACCCGACAGTGCTTGTGTTCGAGAGGCTGAAAAAGAGAATCATGTTCAGCACTGCTAGGGACAAGAATCACTGCTGCTGCAGCTTGCGAGTTCGCCACGAGATCAAGTGGTCTGGCTGGCAAGTAAACCCCATCCCGATCCCGGCCTTGCATGCCATCAGCTGCAGCTGCCGCCTCAGGCACTGGCGCGCCTGGAGCCGCAGCAGCGGCCGCACCAGCCCTTGACCTTCACGTGGGGCGGCAGGCTCAGCAGGGACACCTCCTCCAGAACCAGGCTCCTCAGTACGGCGGCGCTTGGACTCCAGCATCCTCATGGTGAGCTCCTTCTGCTCCTCCAACATCGTAACCGCTGTGTCCTTCGCCTCGCAAAAAGCTGCCTTGGCCGCCTCGCGGAAGATGCCGACGACCTGCTGCTTGCGATTCTCGAGCTCAGAACGATCCTCCGATGAGAGAGACACACCTTCATCGTCCAAGCCGAAGACCCCGTGGTCGTCCAGCTCGAGTTCGCCACCCTCGAGGAGTGCGTACAAGTCCAGCGTCGGCTTGGACTCCCTATCGGGCGCAGTGGGGGCCTGGGTCGGTGGCAAAACTGCTTGGCTGAGGCTACGCACCACTGCTTATGCTCCATTTCACGCTTGGTGAACTCTGCATGCTCCTGCACCGCATGATGCCTGGCCTCCTTGAGCTGACTCTCAAGCTTCTCCGCCGCCTGGACCGCCTCGTCCAGTTGCACTCATGCTTGCTCGCACACGTGCTTGAACATGCCGACTGTGGGACGTGGCGGCGGAATCTCAGCAACTTCCAGACTGGCGATGATGCTGCCATAGTACAGCTGCTGCTCATCGCCGAAAGCCTCGAAGGTACTGGCCAACTGCTTGAGCCAAGGAAGGTCGCTGACGCCGAACTGGGACTGAGCCCCTGTGCCAGTGCCCGTAGCGACACATCCTTTCCCACCGAGCTGCGCACTGGGCGGGGAAGCCGTGGGACCAGCCCCGCTACCTCCGACAAGCTGCGGCCCTGGATTAAGCGCCAATGGCACCCCGTATACAAAGCTTCCTCCTCCTGCCCCTGCCTCAAGCTGAAACCCGGGCCAGTGAGCAGGTGCGCCATGGCCCCACGCATCATAAGGGCCTTGCTGATCACGCCAAGACCTGCCGAACGCTGCAGTCGCGAGGCTCGTCTCGTAATTCGTGCACCAGCTCCACCGAGCCTCATTGCACTGGCAGCCGCACTCTGTGCACTTCCAGCACTCGCTCTGCGACGACTTGGGCACAATGTGACACGCATGCTGCGTATTGCCCATGAAGGGCGGTGAGTCAAAGGAAAGTTGCTCCACCAGGAGCTCACACAGGAAAAACCTCGTGTGACCAAGCAAACGAGGGGCACTGCTGAGAGCCGCTGCTCCCCCTTGCCAATGAAGCCAGGTCTTAAGCCAACACGCTACGGACTTGAGCTAAACTGGTTACGGACTCCTCCTCCTCCTCCTCCGCCTCCTCCTCCTCCTTCACCTCCTCTTCTTCGCCCCCTTTACCACCTTCATAAGCAGTATCCTCATCCACACCACCGTCCTCGTCCTAATATTCATCAGAATCAGCATCGCCATCAACCACTATCACCATCACCATCACCATCAGCGTCGCCGTCAGCATCAGCATCAGAAAGATCAGTATCATCACCAGCATCATCATCAGCATCAGCATCAGCATCAGCATCAGCATCATCGTCGTCATCATCAGAACCATCATCGTCATCAGCATCAGCATCAGCATCAGCATCCTCAGCATCCTCATCATGAGCATCGTCAGCATCCTCAACATCAGCATCATCATTATCCCCATCATCATCAGCATCAGCATCATCATCATCATCATCGTCATCATCATCATCATCATCATCATCATCATCATCATCATCATCATCATCATCATCACAAGCATCACCACCACCGTCATCGTCATGAGCATCAGCATCATCATCATCAGCAGCATCAGCAGCATCATCATCATCATCAGCATAATCATCATCGGGATCAGCACCATCATCATCATCATCATCAGCATCATCATCATCATCATCATCATCATCATCATCATCATCATCATCATCATCATTGTCATCATCATCATCACCAGCATCATTATCATCATCATGATCATCATCATCATCAGCATCAGCATCGTCTGAATCATCATCGGCATCATCAGAATCGTCATAAGCACCATCGTCGGCATCATCATCAACAGCATCATCATCAGCATCATCATCAGTAGCATCATCATCAGCATCATCAACATCAGCAGCAGCAACAGCACCACCATCAGAAGCAGCATAATCAGAAGCATCGATATCATCATCAGCAGAAGAAGCATCATCATCAGCATCATCAGCATCATCAGCATCATCATCTGCATCGGCATCGCAATCGTCGTGATCATCACCACCATCATCATCAACATCATCATCGTCATCGTCATCACCATCACGATCATGATCGTCATCATCATCATCATCAGCAGCAGCATCCTCAGCATCATCAGCATCAGCATCATCATCACATTATCGTGATGATAATCATCATCAACAACATCGTCATTATATCGTCGACGTCATCGTCATCATCATCACCGTCATCGTCGTCATCGTGAGCATCGTCTTCAATTCATTCTCTCGATTCATCGTCATACTCCGCTCCATGAGTGACTCAAGGCAATGCAAGATGGGCTAGAAACGGCGGAGGTGACATACGTGACGCCTGTCGGCGTTGCTCGAGCGGTCGCCGCAGAAGGCCCTGGGACAGGCCAAATAAACCCAAGATCCAGCCACGTGTCACATGCGACGGCTTTCTGGGCTTTCTCAAACCGTCGCCGCAGCGAGTGCATCTATCGGCGCTCGAGGTGTCACACTTTAGGGCCTACTGTCTCCCTTGCACAAGGTGTACCGAGAATGCTGTGCTAGCACGGTGGCGGGACTTGCCGCAGGGCAGCTGGGTAGTTCTGGAGTTTGTACTGACGAGTGTTGGTTCTGTCACTGTCTATTGGTCCCCAACTTCCCCCAGCACCGGGGGCAACCAAAGCAACCACTCCATCAATGTCGCCTTCAAGCGTGGCGCACTTACACCCAGGTTACCTCAAGTCAAGGCGTCTCGGAGCCAGGGATTCCGAGAATGTCTCAGGCGAAACGGGCCTGAGCACCTCGCGGACTACGTCTTGGAACCCAGAGTTGTGGAAACGTCTCTAGCGAAACGGGTCAGAGCACCTCATTTCAGGGCATATCGAAGCCTGGGGTTTCGAGAATGTCTCAGGCGAAGAACGTAATGAAGACGTCTCAGGTGAGATGGGACTGAGCATCTAAGTCAGGGCATCTCGGAAACCGGGGTTGCGATGATGTCTCGAGCGAAACGGACCTGAGCACCTCGTGAACCGCATCTCCAACCCAGAGTTGCGAGGATGCCTCAGGCCGTTTGAGCCAGGGATACCGAGGATGCCTCAGGCGGAACATGCCTGAGTACCTCGCGAACCACATCTTGAACCCAGAGTGGTGAGGACGTCTCAAGCGAAACGGGCCAGAACACCGCAATTCAGGGCATCTCGAAGCCTGTGGTTCCGAGGGTGTCTCACAAGGCTACACCAAAACGGTGTTTTTCGTTTTCGTGTTGTTTTCGTTTTCCCTTGTTTTTGTCTCGAATCCGCCTTTACCGGAAAAAAATCGAAACGAAAACGGCCCACGAAATAGCCAATTTAGGTCCAGCCCTGGTGTCTCCGGCAAAACAGGCCTGAGTACCTCGCGAACCACATCATGAAATCCAGAATTGTGAGAGCGTCTCAAGCGAGAAGAGCCAGAGCACATCAAGTCGGGGCTTCTCGGACTGCGAGATTCCGAGGACGGCTCTCTGCGGAACGTGGGGCGCACCCGGCTCTTTTGAGGGCAACCCCGCCCCGGCACCTCCCCGGCACCGCCGCTGGGGTCGCCAGGGTCGCCCGAATCTGTCCTGGGCGACCCGGGCACCGGGTCTCGGCTGCACTTTCCCCCTCGCCAGCCAAAGCGAGCCCAAGATGGGGCCCAAAACAGCCCCAAAAGCCAACCGAAGTGGCCTGCGAGGACCCTATGGCTCCGACCCACACCTCCAGCCCGTAAACCTAACGGACCGTGCGACGCATCCCCATATATCTGGGCGCGAACGGGCCCGTGACACACCCTTCGTCGGCAGAGCACTGGCCCGCATCACCAGGCACGATCGAGCCGTTTCCAGCCCTGGTGACGAGCATTGTCGCCAGAATCCCGAGAGCATTGAAAACAAGAGTACTCGTCTGACAGCAATGCGAATATTATCCTTCCCCCCCCTCGTCTTCAGCCATCCTGTTACTTCTCATCCCCCTCCTCCTTCGCTTCGCACTCCTGAACGGTTGCTCGGAAGTGCGGGAACGTCTCATGCAAAACTGGCCGGACCCCCTGCACGCGGCATCTCTTTGCCCATAATTGCGAGGACGTCTCAGGCTAGACAGACAGGATCACCTCGCGGGCGACACCTTCAAGCCTAGTGTAGCGACGATGTCTCAAGCGGAAAGGGCGAGGCAACCTCAGGTCACCATGTCCCCGAACCCAAAAGTTCTGAGGATGTTCCAGGCAATACAGGCCAGACCACCAACACTCGCGTTGCATCTGGGAGCCCAGAGTCGCGAGGAAGTCTCAAGCGAAACAGGCCAGACCATGTCAAATCTGGTCGTCTCGGAACGCAGACTTGTGAGGATCTCATGCGGAACGGGCCCAACCACCTCAGCATGTTGCCACTGTCTCGACGCGCGGGCCCCTCGGGCGGCATTCGTTCTTACCGCAAATGCCCCCAGGCACCGGCTGGGCGATCCAGGAACGCTCCAAAACAAAACCGATTGAACGGAAACAAACAAGAAGCTCCCATATGGTGACGTAAGAAAACAAGCATGACAATGACAATGTGGTACGTGTAGGAACGCACAGATGACATCAAATGATCGCTCGGGCCAACGTTGGCAAATATTCCGTACCGACTCTGACCACCACGCGATATATCAATCCGCCACCGCGCTTGCAGCTTTTGGTGTGTGTGTGTGTGCGCGTGTCGGGCCCTTGCCCCGTCCGACACATCGAGCCCGACATGCGTTCACTCATTTGGGCCAAGCCCTGCGTCTGTTCATATTCCGAACAGAACAATGCGTCCAAAATAATAGGTCTGCGTAGGACCCTCTCGGGAACCTCCCCCCAGGCGCCTCCTCCCCACACCCCCCCCAGCGCCACCTCAAGCGCAGTGGCAGATTCGAGCGGCAGCGCCAGTGTGGCATCCCTGAGCACAATGATGTCACTAGCCATTGACACTTCCCCCCAGGCTGAAAAGGATTGATCACACTGGGCGGATTAGGCGCGATGATACTGAAGCAAGTAAGGCGGCAATGTCGGTACGAAGTGAAATGGCACATACCAGACTCATGCTGAGTGCAAGCGAAAGCGCGTGAGAAGATACACGAGCTGACAGCGCACACGCCAACAAAAGTCGGACAAACTGAGACGAGTGAACGGTGATAGTTCCAGGAGAGCCCAGAATCGAATCGATAAGTCGGATCGGCGATCGAAATGAATCGGATCGGCGGAAATCGGCAGCCGATTCGGGAGAAGTCGAATCGGCAGGAATCGGCAGGCCAGCAAGCCTCCAATAAGAAATCCGAACCCAAATCGGAATCCCAAATCGAATCGAATCGGAATCGGAATCCATCGAAATCGAATCGAATCGGAGGAATCGAAACGATCCATGTGGTTCCACGTGGGCCACAAAGAATCAAAGAGGAGAGGTCACCTCCTCCTTCTTCTGCCTGATCTTCTTGTACTTCTCCTCCTCGGCACGAGCGCACGAAGCTCGGTGAGGTGTCTCGCGATGTCGGTGTTCAGGAGCCCTTCTCGGACCCTCGGACCGCCAACAAGAATATCCAGGATAAAAAACTGCCAGGATGGACCCGCGAGGGGTTCGGGGCCCGAACTGACTTTCTTCTCAGATTCGATGCTCGCGCGAGAGAAGCTCGGGAGCCGAAATGATTCGCTGTCTGTCATGCTCTCGCATGGAGATCCTACACGGGCCGAAGCGCGTCCTTATCAAGAAGCGCCCATGGAGAACACGCGCATGACTCATACGAGCTCACCACGGGTAGCCTGAAAGGCGAAGCGCGCTGGAGATCTGACTCTCCTCCCTCCGAAAAACCTGAACACGAAAAAGGTCCCCTGCCGCGGTTGTGACTATTGGGGGCCGCCTCCGTCGCCCTCACCCACTCCGTTCATGCTCCCCATTTCCCTACCTGCCCCCCACCCCCGTCTCCCCTCAACGTTCCAAGAATCGCACTCCCAGTCCCGCCCGCATTGGCGCGTTCCTCGCCTGCTGGGTCCTGATAAGAGCTGGGGGAGCCGGAGGAAGGCCCCATACCCGCCAACGCTGCCCCTTTCCCATCCTGCCCCGCCCCCGCCCCTTCCCCCCTCCAAGACTCGCACTTCCAGTCCCGCCCGCATTGGGGCGATGGTCGCTTGGTCCTGGTAAAACTGGGAAATCTCGTCTCGCTCTTAGGGCGACGAGATCTATGCATATTCACTGCTCCTGGCCAGGCCCATCCTGGGCCCAGGAGCGGTGTATACGCCCTCCTGGCCTGGCCAGGGAGGCATATGCACAGCTCCTGGGCCCAGGATGGGCCTGGCCAGGAGCAGTGGATATGTATAGATCTCGTCGCCCTAGCTCTGCTCCCACGACAGCAGCAGGCATGCCCCCACCCTCCTCCCAGTCCTCCGCGTCATCTGCATGCTCTTTCCGTTCTTTCCTCCCCATGCTGCCTCGTCGGTCCCCTCCTCCGCATCCTTATCCTCATGCCCATTCTCCTCCTCTTCTCCTCCTCATCATGATCATCATCCTCCTGCTCCTCCTCCTCCTCCTCCTCCTCCTCCTCCTCCTCCTCCTGTTCGTCCACCTCCTCCTCGCACGCCTCCTCACCCCGCTCCTCCCCCTCCTCCTCCTCCTCCTCCTCCTCATCTGCCTTCTCCTCCGACTTCCCCTCCTCCTCCTCCTCCTTCTCCTCCTCCTTCTCCTCCTCCTTATCATCATCATCATCATCATCATCATCATCATCATCATCATCATCATCATCATCATCATCATCATCATCATCATCATCATCATCATCATCATCATCATCATCATCATCATCATCATCATCATCATCAGCATCATCATCATCATCATCCTCATCCTCATCCTCATCCTCATCCTCATCCTCATCATCAGCAGCATCATCATCATCATCCTCATCCTCATCCTCATCCTCATCATCCTCATCATCATCATCATCATCAGCATCAGCATCATCGTAATCATCATCATCATCATCATCATCATCATCATCGTCATCAGCATCATCATCATCATCATCCGCATCATCATCATCAGCAGCATCATCATCATCACCATCACCATCACCACCATCACCATCACCACCATCACCATCACCATCATCATCACCATCCCCATCACCACCATCATCAACATCATCATCATCATCGTCACCAACATCATCATCATCATCATCACCACCACCACCCCACATCATCATTATCATCATCATAATCATCATCATCACTGTCATCCTCATCATCATCAGCGCATCATCATCAGCAGCAGCATCATCAGCAGTATCATCATCAGCATCACCAGCATCATCATCAGCAGCAGCATCGTCATCATCAGCATCATCGTCGTCATCGTCAAATTCATCTCCATCTTCATCTTCGTCCCCCTCCCCTTTTCTTCCCATTTAACACCCGTCGAAATCAAGGCCGCCCATAGAGCCCATTAATCCCGCAACCCCTAGAACAACATCTTCGCAACGAGTTCAATCCGCTGTCCAGCGCCATCTGTTCAGCCATCAACGCAAACTGTAAAAGTGTTTGAAGAACTTCCCAAATGTGTGCACGAATGCGTTGCTGCCGTCCTGGAAATCCGCCGACCATGTCGGCGTGTGTGAGATGTTTTCCCGTCGTCGTCCTCGTCGCCGCCACTCTCTCCCTTTCACTGGGCCCTCCTCCTCAAGCGATCCAGCCCGACGGATATCCGACAACGTAGTAATCAAGTCCAAGTGAAGCCCCTTCCCATGGACCCCTTCCCCCCCTAGGAGGGGGGGTCCCAGGGGGGGGCCCAGGGGATGGTCGCGAGGCGATGTTAATAAATCCACAACACCAAATAATATGCTTGCGTGTGCACATGTAATTCCAAAGCTAACACGGCTGCCTGGGTTGGAAATTGCAGCAAATGACTTACGATGATAAGGACCTCAAAATGTAGATGAGGATGGTGGTGTTAATGGATAGGTACCAAATTTACGATAAACAAAAAAACAATACACGGACAACCTGGACAAGGATAGTCCAAAGATTTGACTGTAAGATGTAAGGTCATAAAGGTTAAGGGCTTCAGCGTTTAAGTGCTTAAAGTCTCAAGGGCTCTGAAGGGCTTCCGGGTTTGAATATTGAACCGCTAGGGGGCTCAAAGGATTAAGGGTTCACGGTTGTCCAGGGATGTTACTGCAAGCGTTTAAGAATTTACGCGTTTAACGGTTTCTATGGACTGAAAGACTTACGGGATGAATGGCTTAAGGGCTTTTGTGTTTCAGGGATTGCATGTTCAAGTGCTTCAGGCTTGAATAACTCAAGGGTTGAAGGGCTCAAAAAATGCTTGCAGGTTTGGGAACCTTAAGGGCTTACGGATTAACAAATCAAGGGCTTAAGGTTTCAAGGGCTTATAGATTTAAAAGGTTCAGGGCATAAGGGCTAAAGGTTCAGGACGCCTCTGAGAACAAGATGTGGCGCGCCTACCAGAGGCGCCTTTCAGAGGCGCCTGTAAGACGCCTGTGAGAGACGCCTGTAAGACACCTCGCAGAAACACCTGTAACACGTCTCCCAGAGACGCCTCTTTCAGGTGCCTGTAAGACACCTGTCAGGGACGCTAGCAAAACACCTCTCAGAGACGCCTCTGAGACGCCTCTCAGAGACGCCTGCCAGACTCCTCTCAGAAACGCCTGAAAGACGCTCTCAAAAACACATATCAGAAACGCCTTTCAGGGACACCTGTAAAACGCCTCGCAGGGACGCCTGTAAGACGCCTCTCAGAAACGCTCGTAGAACGCCTCCGAGACGCCCGTAAGACGTCTGTAAAAAGCCTCTCAAAGAGGCCACTAAGACGCCCGCAAGACGCCTGAAACCGGCCTCTCAGGGAAGGTTGTAACTCTCCGGGACGCCCCCCAAAGGCGCCTCTCAGAGGCGCCTGTAAGACGCCTCGCGAGACGCTTCTCAGAGACGCCTGTAAAACGCCTCCCAGATACGCCTCTCAGAGACGCCTGTAAGACGCTTCTGAAGGACGCCTGCAAGACGCATCTCACAGACGCCCGTAAAACGCTTCCCAAAGACGCCTGTAAGACGCCTCCCAGATACGCCTCTCAAGAGACGCCTCGAAGACGACAGCAAAATGCCTTTTCTAGATGCCTTTAAAACTCCCGCAAGACACATGAAAACCGCCTCTCAGGGACGACTCTCAGAAACGCCTCCGAGAGACGCCCGCAAATCGCCCGTAAAAAAACCTGCGAGGGTTCGTGTAGGTTGGCTGGAATTCATGCCACAGTAATTGAAATTGATACCAATATGGCTGGAATGTTTTCTAGTTAGTTGTAATTTCTCCTATCTCCAATTGAGCCCCCGTCGTCCCGGAGAGGAATCGCTGGGGGGGGATCCCGGGGGGGAACCCTGGGGGATCCCGGGGGGGGTACCAGGGGGGGGGTCTCAGGGTGGGCCCTCGGACTTGTGGCCCCTCCTTTCTCCGACCCATGGGCCCAGGAAAGCCCAAAAGAACCTCAAGAGGGGCAAAACCAACCGAAATTTGGGGCCGTCTGTTTCTCGGTGGTTGGAGGGGAGATTTCGAGGTGAAACGGAGGCCCCCCCCACCGAGAAATCGGTGTCGGATTCGTGTTCGTGTCGCGTGTGCGGGCGAGGCGAAGCTGAGTGGGCGGGCGGGAAGAATGAAACCGCCGTGTCTGAGGCCAAATGGAGATCAATGAATCTACGCCCCCAGGTTGGCCAGCGGTCGTTCCGGGGTGTCCCGCCGGTGTCCCGTGGTGGTCCCATGGTGGTCCCGTGGTGTCCCGTGGTGTCCCGTGGCGCGGTGTTTTGTGGTGTCCCGTGGTGTCCTGTCCACTGGTCTCCCTTGGCGCGGTGTCCCGTGGTGTCCCGGGAGGTCGATCGTGATATCGATCTTGAAAATGAAAACGATGAATGAATAAATATATGTGCACAACTGGTTTAGTTGACGCCGAATCCGATCCGGCCCCAACGACACACCGAAAGTTGAACTCCACCCAAGCCTCGTTATCGCCCGACGGGTGGTCGCATAGGTTTTGTTGACCATATACGGATATCAATATCCGTCGGCATATACATATATATATATATGTGTACATACATACATACACATGCATGAACACATACATTTACGCATACGTACGCATATAGTCACACATGCATACAAACATGCACATGCACATACACATGCATATACATACACATTTACACAAACATAGACATACACATAGACATAAACATTCGCATCGACGTAGACATAGACATAGACATAGACATAGACGTATACATATACCTAAACATATACGTATACATGTACAAACACCTGTACATATACCTATACATATACTAAGCATATACATACACATACGACTACACCTAGACTTGTTCATAAACATGTACATATATATATACACTAACGCAGACATAAGCACATGCATCTACATATACATATACCTA